CCCTTCTCCTTTGTCCACAATGGTATATAAACTCAACTGCCCAATGTATCTTTGGGTCTCATATCTTAAGGCACCCCTGCAGGTACATCTGTAATAAACTTTAGACATTTTCTCCTGTAAATCTGTCTCTTAAATTTGATTATTAGCCCAGCTCGAAGAACTTAGAAGGTAGGAGGTAAGTTATTATTATTATTTTTTGCATCACCCACAACATAATGTATATTATATTTTGTTTGTTTATTGTTACCCCCATTTATTGAGTTCCACGAGAGCAGAAACTTTGTCTCATTCACTACTCTATTTCCAGCATTTAACACAGTGCTTGGTATACAGCAGGTGCTCCATAAATATTTGCTGAATGAATGATTGCAGATAAAATGAACAGCTGCCATGTCCTTATGGCTTTGGGGCCTTGAAGGCCCTCTTGCCTTCCTGCCCCCTCCCTGGCCACCTGCTCAATGAACAAACCTCCTTCTGCAGGGAACAAAGCCCAGGCTGATGGCACTAATCACTGCCAATGGTTCTGAATACTTAACAATGGGGTCGGCCCTTTGCTAAACCCTTGGCACACGTTATCTCATTAAACCTTAAAACAACTCAAGAAGTGTATCATTATGGTCTCTAGTTTACAAGGAATGAAACTCAGGCACAGAGATTATATGACTTGTCAAGGTCACATATAGGAAGTAATAAGATCAGGATTTGAACTGAGAACATTTGAATTCAGAGTCCGTTCTTAACCATTATTCCAAGAATATAGCTTCCCAGAGAGGTGACACAGAGCTTTCACACCAAGCAGGTCACTAATCCATTTCAGGATTTCTCCAGAGTTTAGGGCTCATGAGGAGGCAGAAGGAGCAGTGCTTAGGCCTAGACATAGAGGGAGTATTAGAGGGAGGGCCTTCAAAGCCCAGTCTGCCTTCCTCCCTCCACATTCTGGTGTCCCCCAGATCCTGACAGCCTGGAAGGAATCCCATGCCAGATCATCTCCCTCTAATTGGCTTAGCAAACCATGCTTATCTGGGCAAAGCTGGAGCCCAGTGAATTCAAGATTAGGGAAAGCAGGATTCATGGCTTACCACTCTGCTGACCACAGGGTCAGAGGAGATAGGGTTAGGACTTTAATTGGCTTAGCAACACCGAGTGGTTTAACTGCTTAGAGGGTTGGGGTTGAGGGGAGGGAGGAATGAACACAGTTTTGTGTCCAGCCCACAGCCAGCTTCATGTACCACCAAAGGATGCATGTGTTCTTCTCTTGGGGGGTTGAACTGTTTCTGTAAATGGCCATTGATCTGGGACCTACCAGTGCAAATGGTGTGGTAGTGCTAGAGACAGCGCTTGGGCTTGGGAGTTGGGCAAAACTGGGTTGGCACTTCACCTCTCCCCCATTTCCTTAGTGGGTGACCTTGGACAACTTACTTGACTTCTCTGGGCCACTTCTTTGTCTGGCAAATGGGTATATCAATAGCCAACAGAGGGACAGTTCCAGGGTAAAAAGAGATCCTATGCCTGGAGCACCTCACATGGGGCCAGCTGGGACACAGTGGGTGCATGGTGTCCATGAATTTCTCCCCCTCATCTCCCTCCTCAGAGCCCCATTTTCTGTTTAAAATAATAATACCAACACCCATTTTGCAAGGTTGTTTGGAAACAGAATAAGAAAGGATTTTATCAATTGTGTAGCGCTAGACCAGAGAGGCCACAAAGAGGGCAGGTCCACGAATGTGTTTTCTTTGTTTGACGCTATGTTAAAAAATATTAGTTAGTAGTAGAAAGTTGGAAGAATTCACAGAAAAATCCCAATTTTCCATTTCTCTTGAGAAGTCAAGACTTGACAATACCAAGTCCACGATTTCTTGTGGCACAGCAGCTGGAGCTAGGTAGTGGCTTCCCTTTTCTTTAGGACATTGCTTACACATAACGTTCTCTTGATTGATATCCACCTACTGACACAGGTCTGTGTTACCTGGCTTCTTAAAGTAGTTAAGCTTTTGATCCAGCATTGTACAAGCATGAGGAATTGAAAGATATCTTTATGATTGAAATTATTTTATTCAGAATTGGGGGCATGAGATCAGGAGGTGAATAACTGGCCAGTCTCCCCACTTTGATCCTGGAGGGCTCAGACACACATCTCCTTCCTCATTACCCCAGGTTCCACCACTCAGAACATCTTCCCCAAGTCCTGCTGAACATGAACCTGTTCAGTGTGGGAACATTTCATGTGGTAAGCAAACATGTGCCAACATTGCTTAATTTCTAGGAATACCAGCTCTGCTGGCTTCTCTGTACCTTGTCTGGATTTTCCTCCATTTAGCCAGACCCTCAGCTATTTTAGAAGCCAAAGCTTTTGGGACATGTGCCCAGAGGTTTTATCTCTGACAGCTAGACTCATAGTCAGAATTACAGAAAAAGGAAGGCTCTTAAGGTCATCAAATCTAATATTCTCATTTGACATACAGGGAAACTGAGGCCCAGATGTGGGAAGAGTCTCAATCCATAGTCACTTAGCAAGCTAGTTACAAACCTGGATGGAGACATAGGTCTTCTGATCCACTTCCCCCAAACCAGCACTTTCCACACTATATACACTCTCTCCCATCCTTACCCACATGGCCCAACTCCCTCCCCCTTCTTTTACATTCTTATCTCAGTGCAGCAGAAGTCCTGACTTTCTATCATCCTGGAAATCTTGGGATCTCAGACTCATAATTCTTTGAGCTTGGGGGACACATTAGTGGCAGAACTGCAGGATGGGTAAATTGAATTTTGGCTTTGAAGGCAGAGAGTCTTGAGTCCCAGCTCTCCTAGCTGTGTGACCTTGGGCAAGGATGCACACTTTCTGAGCCTCCATCCCCTCATCTGTTAAGTAGGAATGCTAATACAACCACATCAGAGTTTTCTTAGGAGGGATATAGGAAATGAAACAGGTAAAAAGGCAAACAATAGGCTTGGCACAAAGTGTGTGCTTAATAAAATAATTGTTATAGAACTGTAAATAAGGACTCTTGTGCCCCTAAAGCTTAAGTGAAATGGTCCAAATGTGATAAAAGGGAATGGAGCTGGACAATTGGAGCACATATATCCTGTCTAAATTGTTACAGGCCAGATACTGCTAGATTCTGTTTGTTTTTTCAAGAGAAGCTAGGACTATAGGAGCCAAATTAAACACTTCCAAGAACCATTAGTTTGCCATGCCAACCCCCTTACTTTACAAATGGGGAGAGTAGAAATACCTAGCCCTTTTACCTAAGAAACCATGGAGCTCAATGGACCCTCAACTGTCTCCAGCCACTCCCCTGAGGACCCACCCCCACTCTGTGGTCATTTTTTGCCCTATTTGAGGGATATCAGTTTATATTCAAGAAAGAAGTATCAGTTTCTTGCAAGTAGATTCTGAACAGGGGAGAAGGGGGGTTTGAGGTGGTCAGTGAGTTGAGGGGCAGCTGGCTCACTTTAGGCTGAAGTAAAGGGGATAAAGATTTGGCTACCAAGAATAGGAAGTTACCATTTCAGAATCTAAAAATATCTTTCACCATCTGTCCACTCAGGCACAAAATGATAAATGCAGATTAGTTCCTGGATGTAGACATGAATATTTTTATGTGTCAAGCTAATAATAATAACACTACCTTGTGTGGGTACAACCTCACCGCCCTTTCCTCCTGGAGCAGCTAAATAGAATATACACATCAATCCAGGCAAGGCATAGATAGGGAAACCAAGGCAGAGAGCAATTTGGCAACACAACAAGGGTGACACAGCAAGTAAGCAGCTGGGACAAACCCTGGGTGTTCTGTTTCCAACCCTCAGCCCAGAACTAAATCTTCTCAGTTGGGCAGAATGTGTTAACAAGTAGTAGAATAAATATAAGAACAGCAATAATCACCCTTTACATCTCTACTGTGACTTTGACTTTTTTCATGCTTTCCCTATATCTGTGATAATCATAATAATCTATTACATTCCTAAAACATAATGCAGTTTGCAGGACCCTCACACAGACCTTCTCTCACCTAACCACCCCACCAGGTAAGCAAAATATGATGGTAGACCAATGAGATGAGGAGGAGGGATTCTCCCATATTTCACAGGTGAGGAAACTGAGTCTTGGAGGGAAGAGGGGTTTTGCCCAAGATCACATGGTAGGCAAGCTCATTCTGTCAGTGCACAGTAGAGCCTAAACCACTAGAGCAACCCTGATTCAAGGGGAACCCTAGGTTCAGAATTCCCCCTGTCTCCAGTGAACTCAGCTCAGCTCAGCAAATGCCCTTAGTACTGGCAGAGGAAGAAGCCTGGAAGTAGGCTGCTTGTACAAAGCCTCAGTTTTATCTTACTGTCCTGGGATTAAAGGAGAGCTAGTGGCCATCTAATCTCAGACCAAGATCCCAAAGCCTCTTGGCCCCCTTGAGGTGGGGGCGGGAGGTGGACACTGGGGGAGTCCTAAGAAACAGGAGCCAGCTTTTCAGCTGGGTCCAGCACACCCTTTCCCAACTCTAAGAAGTTTGGGCGGGATATTCATTTAGCTGCCTCGAATTCCACGTTTCTCCTGGGAGGTTGGGAATAGACTGCAATTCTGAACTGAGAATCTTTGAGAGCAAGGAAGGACTTCTGAGATCTTTCCTAAACCAAGGCTCAGCACTCAGGCAGAAAGGACTGGAGGGAGCCCTGGGGCTCTGTTCCAAGCTTTAAACTCATCCTTATTGGCCCAGGGCCCTCCTCATTCACACACCCCCGAGGATCTCTTCCTCTCTTCTTGCTCGGTCCCCTCCTCCCTCAATGGCCAAATTAGAGAGGATGGCACTGGGGTTGGTCAGAGTTGAGGGCAGAGGGCAGGGAGGAGCTGGCAGAGAAGAAATCAGATCTACACTAGGGTGGGGCAAAGCGGCGGTCAGGACATGAGGGGGTACCTAGAAAGATGAGAGAAGTACTGGGGGGGAGGCAACCCCTCGCCACCCCCACTCCTCAGAATCAGCTCCCTCCACCCGCGTTTCTCCTACCTCCAGACCTGGCCGAGCTGCAGGATGTGGACGAGGGTCTGCAGTAGCCAGACGCAGAGGCGGCAGCAGCGGCGGCGGTAGGCGCTGGCCGAGGAGGGCACCCGCCGGGGACCCAGCTCCGAGCTGTCTTCTTTGGTCCGGAAGGCGGTGGCGCTGTCCTTGGTGCTGATGGAGGGTCCGCCGGCGCCACTGTCCTTGGTGCTGACGGCGGGTCCCGGGGCACCCGCGGGCTCCGTGTAGTCGTAGACAAACCAGCGGAAGCTGAGCAGCTGCACTACAAGCGAGGGCAGGAGTACAAACAGCAACGTGAGACCGAAGTAGGTCCGCTGACCCTGCAGGTAGTAGGAGGCCGCCAGCCACAGGTCCGTAGCGCCGTCGGAGAAGAACACAAGCAGCGCGCACAGCACCCAGCAGCAGTCCCGCAGCTCGTAGCGCGGCCCCGAGCCTCCCGCCCCAGTCACTCCGGGGCCCCCGGCTGCTGCCACGGCGTCCCCGAGCCCGCCCGCACTGCCCCGGGCTCCTCCGACTGCCCCCTCCGGCCCCGGGCCGGCCGCGGCCGCCGCTCCATCAGACTTCGCGGCCATGTTGGCGGAGCAGGAGGCGGGGAGCGACTTCCGGGAGGCGGGGGTGGGGTGCGGAGTGGGGAGGACCCTAAGCGGGTGGCTCCTGCCTCCTCCTCTTCCTCCTTCTCCACTTCTTCCTCCTCCCCTCCACTTCAATTATTCATTACCCTCGGCGCCACCCTCGCCCCTCCTCCACCCCTCCTGGGCTGTGGCCGGATGGCAGAGCCCCGCCTGGGAAGAGAGATGGAGAGGGGAGGGGAGAGCATCCCAGGTCACCCTCTCCTTGTTTCTTCAAAGGTGTGGGGCCTCAGCCACATGCTCTCTGCCTGTCACCCTCACCCACTCCACTTCCTTCCTTTCTCTTTTCTTCACCCGCGCCCCTCTCCATCCACTCCTCTTCCATTTAGCTCCTCTGTTTACCTCCAATGGCCTGGGTCTGAGGAGGAGGGTGGGGGACCAGAAACTTGGAAGGGGCTGCTTAGGCGGGCATCCCAGTAACACTTCAGCAATCAGTAGATGCTAAAAGGCCACTTCCTAGTTTCCAGAGTGTTCACATATTGTTCCATCCCCTTTTTTGATCGTGAGAGTTCCCTTTTCTTATTGTCTTTTGAAGCTGAGAAAACTGCAGCTTTGAGAGTTGCTGTCTCTTCCCCACTCTTTCCTTTCCTTCCTCAGGGACTGCCTTCATCTGGTCACGGCCCTGGTAGCTAGGGGCAGGAAAGGGGGCAACATCAGAGGGAAGGGATGGGATGGAACACCAGGTGGAGGAAAGGGCTAGTGCAAAGATCTGGACGCCTGAGACTGGAGGGCATGTTTTCAAGGAAGTCTGGATCACAGATCCAGAGATGTGGAAAGCTGAGAAAGATGGGGCTGGAGCGTTCTGAGGGATGAGATCCTAAAGGGTCAGAAGATATGCTTTATCCAGGAAGCAATAGGGAACCACTGCAGAATTTGAGCAGGGGGGGGGTAATGTGATCCAGTCAAGATTTTGAAAGAAGACCCTGCAGCCAGAGGAAAGAAGTGTTCGCAGTGAAGCACCCTAGGGGTGGAGAGACCAGATGAAGAATATAACAGTAATCCAGGAGAGGGGAAAGGATCCCTCATACACCCCAGATACCCCCAGCTCCCCGCCCCCTTTGCTCAAAGTGAATATACTAGGGCATTTATTATATATAAACACTCATATAACAGTCTTTCTTTGCTATGGACTGTTTTAAGCACTGTATAATTACAACCCGTTTTATCCTCACAATTTGTGAGGTGATTTGTATCTTTCCTCCCATTTTACAGATGAAGAAACCGAATCAGAGAGAAGTTAATTCATTTCTTAGGAGGCACACAGTAAGTGCTAGAGCCAAACTCAAACCCATTATCTGACTCCAGAATAGATTTTGCTACCTCCCAAGGGGAGCAGGAGAGTTAGGTGAGAAAGGGAGGAAAGAAGATGGGAGGAGGGGAAGTTTGAGGACTACCCTGCTTCAGAGTGGCAGAAAAAGGAAGATGAAGGGAGACAGCTGCCCTGGGTCAGGAAGGAGCAGCCATCTGCAATCCTGTAGCCCAGCATCCCTTTAGTGTCCAGGGACTGTTCTGGTTGCAGCAATGCTCTGGAGGTTGGAGTGCCAGCTGTTGCCCAAGGCTGAAAATGGAGGAGAAAAAATGAAGAATTAAGGGAGTTTTCCAGGCTGGATTCAAAGCTGACAGTCTCTATCCAAGGGCATGTGTAGACTAGTGGGAATTTTTTTGTAGGTTGGGCTAAAAGGGGATTGTGAATCCCAATGTGATTTAGACAAGAGCAATCTCTCTCTCTCTTTTTTTCCCCCTGTCTCTCCAACAACCCTAGGCAGGGAGATTCTTGGAGTGCACAGAGTCCTGGCGGAGGGAAGGTCTGACTCTGGCTGGACCCCCATATAGCCCTGGGCCAGTTTTGCAAGTGTTTGGATCTCTGCCTTCTCACAGGTCCTGATGAGGCCTGGCAGAATTAGGTTCTCACCTCTGCCCTCCAGCCCCACCCCATGGAGGGAGCCCCTCTACCTCCCATGTCTCTCTACATCCCAGGATCAGCCCGATCAATCAGGCAGTCCAAGACACACTTATATCTGAGATTCTAGAGCCAGGAAACTTAGGTTCAAAACCTACTGTCACCTTCCTGGCTCCATGACCTTGGGAAAGTCACTTAATTTCTCTTAGCTTCAGAAAAGAAAGTAAAATGAAGGGGCTGGGGGTAACTGGTGCCTTCCTCCTAGAGCTGTGGTGAGAATAATTAATGTTAATTATGAGATGGGGTGATGTCTCCCACAGGAAGCCCTCCTGGATCTCCAGTCAGCTGTGCCCTGATCTCTATCCCTCAGAGAAGTCTCCCTGACACTCCCCTGTTATGAACTTCCATAGTCTTTTCCTTTTTAACATCAGTACACTGGCAATTTATTTATTTATTTTTTTATGTTTGCCTACTTGGAATTGCCTGAAAGCTCCATGAGAGTGGAAACAATTCATGTTTCTTCTTTTTTTGAAAAGGTTTTATTACTCACAGAGGGGAGGGGGCTCAGTCCTTCCTGACCAGCAGGACATTACTCAGCTCCTTTCTCTTCTTGGTGCAGATGTGTGTCCCCACCCTTTTATTGATGAACTTGGGGGCTTGCTTGTCTTTGGAGACCTTGAGCAGCACCTTGGTATGCCATTCATATTGGGCGAAGCTGTACACTTTTCAGCCATGCCCTGCACAAACTTGGTGTGCTTGGTGAGGTGCCTGTGGCAGTGGTGGCCGTGGCTGTGGCTCAGCTTGCTCACGTTCTTGGTCACCTTGCAGGGCTTATTGAGGCCCATGGCCGTGGGGGGTAGTGCAGAGTCATGTCTACTGCTCTTAAAAGGCTGCTGCACCTGAAGGATTAATCTGTTTTCTTTTTTTAAATTTTTTAATTTATTTATTGTAGAGAGAGAGGAAGGGAGAGGAAGAGAGAGAAACATCAATGAGAGAGAACATTGATTGGCCACCTCCTGCATGCCCCCACTGGGGATTGGGCCCACAACCTGGGCATTTGCCCTGACTGGGAATCGAACCAGCAAACTCTTGGTTCATGGGTCTACACTCAACCACTGAGCCACACCGGCTGGGCATTAATCTGTTTTCTTCATCAACAAATCATTGAGCAGCCAGTGCTATAGGTAGTCTATAAAAATCATTGATTGAATGAATGTTTGATGAATAAATGAATGAATGATCAACCTTATGTAATAGTTTCTTCCCATGTTATAAGCTAAGTAACTGTTTCAGGCAAGGGCAATGACTCACAGAATTAACAATCCCTTCTGTATGTCAGGAGCTGCACTAAGAACGTTACTGATATGGCCAATGTTATCCTCAAACCAGTTATTTTTTTGGGTGAGGCAACTGGGACTCAGGGAGGTGTTTTCACTTGCCTGAGGCCATTAGTTAGGAAATAGCAGAGCTGGCATTCAAGAACTCTAGTTCAGATAACTGGGGGAGATGACACAGAAGAAGGATTTGATGGGGTATTTAAAGTGTGGGAGTGACCCACCTGTCAGTAGTACTGTAGAGGAGACTCTGCCCTGAGTAGTTTGGATGGCCTGAGACCAGAGATCAGAGATTCAGATAAGGACCAATAAGGAAGTACAGGAATGGTGTTCCAGTGGTGCGGTGCGATGGTGGGGTGGTGGGAGAAAGAACTGCTTGGGCAAAAGCTCTGCAGTGGGGCTGAGCCAGACTCATTCAAAGGCTAGGAAGAGGCTGGGTTTGGCTGGTGTGGAGGGAGAAGGTGGACCACAGCTTGTCAGAACTGGACAAGCACTCTGAGATCTCATCCAGTTCCCCAAGCTCTTCTCTCGTTTTATAGATGGGGATACTGAGGCCCAGAGAGAAGTCCCATATCTAGCAAGTGGTTGAAGCAATCCTGGGAGCCTTTCTTAGTTGCCAGGGGCATGATCTCTGGGATTCGTTGGGAATCATACATCTCTTGTTGTGTTTCCTCAATTAATTGAGACCTCAGTCCATGCCTACCGCGCCCTCAGTTTGGACCAGTTTCTAAAGATATTCCTTTAGTTCCTGTGCAAACTATGCACAAGATAATTGACAGAGCATTGTCTATAACAACAAATACTAGGAATGACCCAAATAACCATCAGTAAGGGGCTAGCTAAATAAACCATGGGCTTCCTGACAATGGGATAGCGTGTGGCAGTAAAGGAGGTGATGAAACTCTTTATCTCCTAATACAGAGAGGCCTCCATAGGGAAAAACAAGGGAGCAAATAGGGGACAAAGCTGAGTGAAAAGGGGGCATAATCTATATTTGTATTTGTTTGGACATGCATACAGAAACTTTGGAAGCGTACATAATAAGAAAATGACATTACTGAAGAGGGCACTGTGCAGAAGGGGAACAAGGATGAGAGATACTTTATTATATGCGTATCTATAATTTTGGGGGGAATCATGTGACTGTATTTACCTATTAGTAAAATAATATAATAATGGGGACAGCTGCTACTCAGCTACTGCTGAATGCTGTCATATGGGAATAGGCAGTCTGTATGGTCCAATTTTCTAATTATCCAAGAGAAGCCAGAAATCTGGATTGGATTGTAAAATCTCTTCATTTTTAAATGTTGGCTCCATTTTTTCTCATACAGTTTTCAGGCCAAGTAAATAGGTCAGTGGGTCAGACTCGGCCTGAAGGCCACCAGTTTTCAGTCTCTGCACTAATGGCTTCCTGCTCCCAGGGCTGGAGTTCTCAGTACCCCTGGTCTCCACCCCAACTGGGCAGCTGCAGACAGAAAAGTGCCTTGTCCTGCCCCTCTCCTGGCACCTTCCAACCTTCATCCCTTGGGGCTGTGACATTTGGGGCTTTTAACTCAAGATCTGGAAGGCAGAGAGCGGTTATGAACTCTCAGATAATTTCTTCTCCCGGGGCCCTGCAGGCATCGAGGCCCAGCTGCCTCCTGCTGCCCACCCATCTGTCCCTGGGAGGTGGGGACAGGAGTGAAGCTGGTAGTGATGGGGGTGGG